CCACAGACTCCTGATATGATATTTTCTTACATCCCTTGTCTGCAGTGTACTTTGTGTAAACTATGGTGTGTCTTAGCTCACCAGCTGCAGTTGATGCATGTGGCTGTGTAGCGCTTCCATTGTAATGCAATGCAGTAGTTTTCAGTCTAGAAAGAAAGAAAAAAAAACCCAAAAGAATCAGCTTTTAGACAAAAATATAGATTTTATGTAAAAATTAAATAATTAAAAGCATGTATTTAACTCATTATTGATTATCTGTCCTGGATAACATTCTTTTGATGGAGAATACAGAGCACGTGACAGAAAGCACATTGAATCTGATTTGTCCTGTTCTGACAGACTAATGTCAGATCTGTATACTGGTAAGAAATTTGTTATCAAACATACTCAATTAGATAATTATTCAGTCAGAGTTAAATATAATCCATTCGTTTCACTGAAAAAGGAGCAAGCAGAACTATGAACTTGTTTAGCCCGTCCAAGTAACATGGAATAAAAATGAATATGTTAAGATGAGTTTTTAATACGTCTCTCTGGAACAATAGACCATTGTCCTGAGGCTAGCATAATGGCTTGCTTAGCAGCTAGCTAGTGAGCTAACGTCTGGTTAAAACCAACCTAAAAAGTGGCTTAACTTACAGATTAACTAAGAAAAGATAAAATATATTATCAATACTCAATTTAGATCCTTAGTAGACACCACAGACAGCAGAAATAACATGTTTGGGGCTCAAAATTCATGTTGTTTACTGAGGTGGGGAAAAAAAGTCTTGGAGGCTACATCACTTCCGGGTCACTGAACTGTCACTAAAGAGAAACCACTGTCCTATGGGAGAGGACTTCTCAGAAGTCCCGCCCACCCGAAAGGGTTGTGTTAGAATTGCAACCAAAAACTCAGGGATTGCAAAGGAGAAAGCCAGAAAGTGTAAGTGCAAATCTGGTTGTGAGAGCAAAGCTCTCTGTGAGCAGCGAGAATGAAACTAAGGAAACTGATAACAAAAACACATAGAGGCAAACAGAAAAAGGAAACATACTTTGTTACTCATTTTAAGAAGTTGATTCAGATAGTAAGTTTTACTTTTGAAACATGTTTTTTCCTTTAGTCAATATTTTTGTTCTATCAATTTCTTAATTTTTGTTTGACCATCAAAGTGTTTTTCTAGATCATTTTAAGAATCTGATTCAGATTGTAAGTTTTTCTTTTGAAACAATTTTTTTTCTCTCAATGTCTTAATATTTGTTTGATCTTCAAAGTGTTTTTCTTGATCCTATTGGCACAAATCTAATCCGATATGGGCAGCAATGTTTTAGTCAATGTGTGTGTTTGTTAGAAAAATATCTTATGACACACTAGACAGACTTTTATTGAACCCCCAGATATAATCACTGGAAATATGTCTACAACGGATAAACAGATGGCCACCATTGCTAACTGACATTAGCAACTGCAAAAATTGCTGTAACTCAAATTTTACAGTTGGCTCACTATATTTTTTTGTAGTTGTAGCACAATTATTGGACAATTCGATTGTCAGTCTCGCCAAACTGCCATACTTCCCCGCATTCTTCAGTCGTTACACACTTGTGTATTTATCAACAGAACACCATCTGCATCAGAGAAGGAGAAAGAAGAAACAGCCGGCTGCTACCACTCCAACTTTAGGATAAACTACAGAGTCCCAAAAAGAAAAAACACCATTTGAAGTCACGGACAACAATAGACGTTTCAACCTACGAAACAGCAATAGGTGTTTAGCTCTCTCCTATATCTCTAGGTTTCCAGTTGCAGTAGACATGGTTCCAGAGAAGAATCCCGAGGGAAGGGGTGAGTGTTCGAAACCTAGAAAGTTTGCAGATTTTGCAGCTTTAAAACACCTTTTGCAGCCTTTTGTGCTGCCACGAGGGTCTCTACTACCTCTATAAACACTCCAAATATTTAAAAAAACATGTCCGTACTTGTTTTGTCCATCAGTGTTGAGGAAAGCAAGCCGTTTCTAAAGGTTTTGCACAGAACGCTCCAGACCTGGATCAGCAGCTCTACTCCTAGCTCCTCCCTGTTATCAGAGCTTCTCAGCTTGTAGCAGCCTGAGTGGGGGATGGATGGGAGTGGCCAGCATCAGCTAGTTTTCCTTAAAGTGACTCATTCTGGAAGGTACTGAAAATGTCAATAATAAAACTGCTGTGAGAGAGATTTTGTGCAAAGAACTTGATAAACACAAGTAGGATTACGCTCTGTGCATCATCCAGTCTAAAACTCTGGAGAAGACACCTATGTTGTCGAAACTTTGGTAGCGATTTTTGCTTCTAATAAATACTCACTCACCCGAGTACTCCAGCCTCCTTCATTCACAACTTCATAAACATGTATTGTATAGTCTATATAACTAATATAACTTTAGAAAAGTCATAATATCCTTAAAAAGATCAAGTGAGGTATAATAAAACAGCATGAAATTGTGCAAAAATTTTATTTTCACACTTGGACACAAATGAATAAGATTATCGGTGAGTGATGCATTCTTTCAAGTAATATCAAGCCTTTAATTTAACAAATGGAGAGACCTAATTCACAACCAAAAATACCCAACAAGTTCTAAAAAGTCCTTAACAATCAAATTGTTAAATATTTACGAACCATACATTTTTATACAAACCTCGGCTCCTTATAATAAACTTCAGCCGATTATCATTTATTTAGCACTCTATTTTGGTAACCCTGTGCTTAAGTTTGAATTCTCATCCTAAGTGACACCTGCCATGACCAGAATCTTAGTTGTTCTAATCTGGTTACAGCTTGCTATTTTCAACAGTTCCATTAGAAAACTCCCAGCCTCCCCCACTTTGTGTCTCTCCCTTCACCTCCCACACTCTCTACCCCCCATCTGCCCTGACCTACATGGTAGTCACATGGCCCCGGCTCCCTGGCTTGGCATTTTATGGAAAATCTGCAGGAGATAAAGCCACGGGGTTTAAAGTGTTATCTCTGCCTGTCCTTTGAGAAGGGCTAAACACTGAATGAGGTGTTATTGCATCAATGCTGTTGGACACACACCGGCACCAAAGAGGATATCTTCCTCCCTCCTTCCTCTCCCTCTCCCTCCATCTCCCTCTCTCCTCAATTTGATTGGATTTAGTAGAGTGTCACCACTGTGACTTTGGGGGATTTCTCTTTCCCTGTCACTGTCTTCTGCAAGCTCGCTCGGGTTATTTACTTTACTTGTCCAGAAAATGGACTGTGATCTGCAGCTTACCGGGCAAAGCTACGGAGGGAGGCAAGTGCCTCGTGGTAGTTCAGAAATTCCAGACAGCCTCGGAGATGCTTCCTCTGGCTCATTTACTCCCTTGCTGGTGACTGAGGGCTTAGTTTTGCATTGTGACCGAGTCCCCTTCACACTGTTGTCTGCCTGTAAATTTTCTGCTGCCCTTGCTATTCAGCCAATTACAGCAGAAGAGCTTTAGCGATTTTTTTCCTTCCCAACCCACCTTCCTATTTCTTCTGGTGTGTATTTATTTATATATTTATTTTACAAGCAAATGACAAGCATCGCTGAAGGTTAAAAAAATGCTGAATTTCATTGTGCATATAATGTGTTTTTTTTCCACAGCAGGGCTAATCAATACTATATCTGGTGAAGAACAAACACACACAGCAGAGTAACACAGCTTCTTTTGCCTGTTGCATTTGAAATCTTGACCTTTTTTGGTTGAAATTTACAAATCGACACGTGACAGATTGTTCAAACTGTCACGCGTATTATAGTTTTCATTAAAAACTTAATGTTTGTGTGCAAAAACACCATCAAAGTTATGAGCGAAGTTATTTTCAACAGATATCTTGCATTTTCTAAAGTTTCATCTGCACTAATGCTGTTCTTGGGGATTTGAAGAGGATAAATGCAGAGGAAGGAGCTCACTTATAGTGTGCAGGTCAGATGGTTTGTCCCTCTGCACCTGTTTTAGCTTTTATGCTGTCAACGTCTTCACCGTCCTCCTGACATTAATCTGCTCTGTCCCAAACTGTCAACCTTAGTACTCCTAGTTATATATTCAGTAATTGGTTTAGAAGTACACATCCTTAAGCCCTTCAACACAATATTGTTGGACTCCTGTGTGTGTACAGCAAATTCTCCTTTCTGGTGAGCTTTCTGAGGCTCCTTGGAGCAAACGCGTGGCACTTTGACCTTACGGCAACAGAACGACTATCAATGCGCTGTCAAATGTAAAGCGGGGCCACAAAGCAGTTGAAGAATGCAGCCCGAGTGCGCTGCCATGTTGCATTCTGGTGCTAAAGTGACCGGAGCAAATATCTTCCTGAAACACTGGATAAGATAAGTCAGTGTGGAGCGCTTTGCATCACTGCGGTGACTGGCTGTAGTAGCGCTGTAGCTATATTTGACAGGGCGAGTGCAGACTTACAACAGTCCCCTCCGCAACCGAAAAGGAACATCACACGGATTTTATTGTTCTATCTCTCATAAAAAACAAAACCAGAAGTTACACAAGTGATAATTGTGCATAAAAGCAGCGATACCACAAAATGCAGAGTGTTCCAAAACAAGAGAAGAGAAGAATAAAGAGCTCTTTCCACCAGCGTGCAGGCAGCCACGCCTAGCAGTGGGAACGGAAAGCAAAACTGCTTAATGTGACAAAATAAAGACAGAAACACTGTGAGGGAAAGTTAGAATTAGGATCCTGAAAGATTTATGCCTCCATTTTATTTATAATTTGTTTTCTTTTCCTTATTGGAATTGAGTTGCAACTGAATATTTGATGAACGCAGCCTAGGAGGATGTTATGTCAGCAAAGGAAACAAAAAAGTAAAGAGAAACAAGCAAGAAATGTATTTAGCAAAGTTTGCGCTTTGGAATAAACTAACATGCCTTTGCTTTCATAAGTGGCTTGTTAATTGAATGTGTGGGGGGGAGTTTGCTATCTGCAGGTTGTGCTGAGCCCTGGCGAAGCTAGCTGCGCCTTTCCATATGCACTGTGCTGAGTGCTGGGTACTCTCCGTGCACAGAACACCATCTGCATTTTGCTGTTAACGCGTCTTCACATCCAAGGGAGGATTAGGAGAAAATCCCCAGGTTTTTTTCAACCAGTTGACAAATATCAGATTTGTCTCTAAAAAATTAGCTCCATCTATATCTCCCACCATATGACACACAAAAAAGATTATCTTTAATACCCAGCCAGCTTGGGTGTGGAAAAAGCAGATTAAAGTTTCAGTTTGGTCATATTCAAGCAGCCACTTCAAGTACGACACCGCCGGCATTACAAAGTACACAGACCTCTTCACAAAACGCCCCCCAAACTTTACCTTCTAGAAACAAGATGTCTGCCCTGGAACAATTAGACATCATACTTAAATAATTCATCATTTCCCCGTCAGTCTTTCTCTTCTGCGTGTCCTTTAAACAGACAGATTGAGCTGCCAAAGGGGCTAAAGTGAATAACAGCAGCAGGTGCCTTTTCAGATGGAGCTTTGTAGTCTGCGGAGGGTGCTGAGCTGTTATTTTAGTGGCCCACTGGTCAGGAGCAGGGGGTGGCTGGGAAATGGACCGGACAGCTGACCCGAGACCCCTGAGCTGTCCTGTTAGTGGCCTTTACTCTACTCAACATTATCACAGACACTTCCTGGATTTATCCACCTCTGCAGGGCTAACGCAAATCCACCAAAATCTTCCTTTGTTCTCCACCAGAGAGTTTAAGAAACTCTCTTCTGAGAAATAATCTCCTCTGACCCTGAAGGAGGTCATCTATGTCAGCAGTGGCAGATTGTAGGGCTGGACGTGCATGATTATTACCCATCAGCATTCATCAGAGGGATTTAAACCTGAGAGTACTGTAAGATGCTCCATAAGCCTCTGCTAAGTCAGTGTGTTCTTCCTGACCATTTCATTATCAAATACATAATCGTCTGCAGAAGACAGAGCCCAAGGCCTAAGGCCCTACCTGGTGTCCTGGATGTCGACTTCCCTGCTTCCGCTCAAGACCACTGCCCCACCCAGAGGTTGCTTTATGAACACAGGAGCCCCATAAATGAAATTAAGGTGTCAATTAGTCAATTATGGCATAATAACTCTGAGGGCAGACATTTAGAGACAAAGAGAACCTCAGCTAAGTTCATTTCCTCCAGCCCAGGAGCCTAGCGCTTGGCACACGTCACTCCCCACCCAGACTCGCTGAACAAGGGCCCCAGTGCTCTCCCTAATGTTATTTTCCCCTGGATATCTTTTTTGATCAACAATTTCCTTTCATGGGTTTGTTTTTCAGATGCAGGGATGCACCTTTTTTTCCCTCCCCAATTTGACTAGGGAGAATTTTATAATTTAGTAATTAAAATCTTTGTTAGGCTTTAGAAATTGCAGCTAATTGAATTTAATGGGAAGATGAATTTCAATTTTATTTGATTAGCAGGACCCCTGGCATAGGTATTTATGGGAAAAAAATCTCCACAAAAATATGCTGTGTGGGCTAAGATGGCATAATAGAATTACAGATAATCGGATTTCGCCGTCATGAATTTCACTCTAATTTCACTATAATTTTCCATTAGATAGCTGGTTTACAAATATTTGCTCATCTGCGATGGGAAAGGCTATCTGTCTAAAATGATTACCAAGCGAGCCTTCAGAAATATGTCCCCTTTTTTCTCCTCCCTTTTAAAACCAGATTGCGAGGGATCAAAATTAGGAAGATTGCATTATGGATGTCTGCATCCGGGAGAGCAATGGGGGAGATATGATGATTACGGCTGGGGGATGAAAGCAGTGTCAAGAAAAATGTATGACTGAAAAACATAGGCCTGGTCTTATCCTCTGAAATATCTGCTCTCAGCAAACTGCCGCCCAGCAACGTGATATATCATAATTCACCAGGAGGACAAAAAAGGATGTTGATGTACAAATATACCTTCTGTTTCATGCAAACACGGCATTAATTACCTTCAAGTACGAGATTTTTGTCTCAGCGTGTGTATACAAACCTTCAGCACACACACACGCATGCAGCAATCACTGAAAATATGTGGGATTATGATCATCAGATTGTGGTGTTTTGTCATGATTGCTGTTCTTGTTTTATTTGTGTGTAATTTTTTTTATTATTCAGCTTCCACTCATGCCTCAAAATAAATACATAATAAAAGGTAAACAGACGTGAGAGGGAATAAAATTCCACATGGCAGAAAACCCAGGCTGACATCGGGATGAACTCTGGTTGAGTCCCACTCTAAAAGGCCCTGCTTCAGAATTAAGCGCTTACTCATTCAATTTCCTGCCAATTTTCACGCAACGACAGTGAATATCGAGGATAAACCTCATCCCCTGTGAGCTGAAAAACACAAACTCTTTTAATTTGTTGTCTCTGAACTTTGATGCTGCAGAAATTCTTCGTGCTTGTGCAACTAAAAGATGCACGCATGTACACACGCACACACACATACACACACACACCACCTGTACTTTCTGTTGGTTATGACGAACCGTCATCCCTCCTCATCTATTTCACTTCTTGTCCCAAACTTCCAGAGACACCATAAAAGGTTAAGAAACAAAAAACACGTCTGACTTTCAGCAGAGGTCAGATTTCTCACCCGGCGTGTCTCTGGGCTTTGGGCACAAAAGCCACTGAATTCACATCTTTCAACCGGGCCAGCTCTTTTGTCCCGGGGAATGGAGGGCTCGGAGTGGGCCCTGCAACCGACCAGCCCCTCCTGGAGAGCGCTGTCAGGGGCAGCCAAACGTCTGGCCCGACGGCCCTTTGACTGATGTGCCCCTACCATGTCACACGCACAGCGGCGTGCGCACACACTCACATGCACACACACACTCCACCTTGCCCTCAACACTCTCCCGCATGCACCACACAATAACCCCAGACCACATCAAACGAAAATCCCCACAGATCTTTTTATGAAAGTAATGGTTTCACCCCCAAAGATGGCAGCGCAGGGGCCAGAGGGCTGCGATGCATGGGCGACAAACGCCTCCCGACTGTGGACATTGTTGTGTGAAAACTATTCATCCTGCTCGCCGAAGTCTCCGCTCAGATCATCTTTGGAGATATTAACACTCTACTTTAACCCTTTTGACCTCATTTTTATTTTTTCTTTAAAGATTGACGCCTCCGTGTTTGCAGTTTCTAAGTAATCATCCGTATTTGCAGTAAGTCTCACCAAGTCTCCAAACAAAATACTTTGTTTGTGCAACCTGTGCTGGATAAAAACCAGGGCTCACAGTTCTCAAAAGGCAGTTTCAACACCTTTACGACAGGATGACGCTCCTGTTGCCAGATCAGTTCTTACACAAACACAAACAATTCGAGTTTAACACGATTATGATGAAAAACATGCCTGAAGTATCATTTACTGTATGATAGAACAAGGGCGGAGCCTGGCAGAAACTCCTTGTTTTACGGACATTTTCCTTTATGTGGGCTAAGACGGAGGAGACAAGTTTTTTTTCCCTGCATTAACCAGAATGAGTCAGCATAATTTCAGAATCACCCAAAACCTGTTTTATGCATTGTACATACTTAGCACTCCTTTAACAGCCCTCAGAAACTGAAGCCAGCTCCGTGTATCTCAGTATTATGGTTCACAGCCATAAACGTGTTCATTTCCTCTTTTCTCAAAACCAGTAAATGTTAGTTAAACAATACCTTTATTGGAAAAAAAGTCAGCAGCTGTGGAAAAAAACACAAGTCTACTGTTACCTTTGAAAGTTTCGACTTTGTTATTTTGTGTTGCTCTGTAAACGCAGCATTCTTGACACGGAGCCATGTTTACAGTACATGGGTTTATGTACAAATGGTCCAGAGGCGCTTTGCATGCTACTGCGGAAGAAACTGCCAGGCAAATAAGGGGTTTGTCTTATAAAGTATTCATTGTCACCTGGTAACGGCCGTCATTTATCATTTCACCTGAAATTACAATGAAAGCCGATAGCTTATCAGAGGGATGAAGGGAGAAAGGGTGCTCACTGAGGGAGAGGAGCAGAAAGAGTGAACTACCAAGAGATCCCTGTTTTTAAGAGAAGTGAAACAGTTATTTACTTCTTTTAAAGTGTTGAAGGTATATTTTTTGTCAGATATCTCGACAAAATGTTACACTTTTTTGAAGAAATGAGAGAGCGGCTGGGACTTTTTGTGTCTATTTACCCAATAAAAGTGTGAATCGTTGGAGAACGGCGACAACAGTCAATAACCTGAGCCGCTTTTATCTGTCATCGCGTTTCCTTTCATGTCAGATCATTCTGAAAGCTTCAGTTCAATAAAAGTGTAACAAAATCTGATGAAAAGAGCGATCTTTCCCACAAACCCCTCATATATGTGTGTTTTTTTTTTTGTTTTTTGTCGTAAAGTATACTTGTCTCCTCATTTGAATAGAGGCAGTGGTGGCTCCACCCCAAGAGAGTTGAAAGGCTAGAAGACCACAAAGATGGAAAGGCCAGCCCACTGAGGGAGGGAGGAAAAAACTGCTCCGGTTCCTCTGCCATAATTTCCTATCAGCCTATTCAGACAACATCACCAACAGCTCGGTCTGTGTGTGTGTGTGTGTGTACGCCGGTGTGTGTATGGGAGCAGAGAGAGAGAGACAGAGAGAGAGAGAGAGTAGAGCAGGGAAGGGGGAGGCTCCATATTCTTTCACCTACCCCCCCTCTCGTCAAACCACAGGAAGGAGGGGCCAGACCCTAAGCTGCCAATCAAATCCGCTCGTGGCAGCCGGCATTATCTCAGCAACAAACTATTGACAGATTACATGTCAAGGAGTTTAGGGCTTGATTGAAGGAACCTTTTTTTCTCATCTAGTTACTTTAACGCTTTATCCCCCCCCTCCAACAACCAACATTTGAATGACTTTCTAACAGAGCTGAGTAATATTATGAAAGTTACATGTCTGAGAGGATTTAACTTCGACTTCCCTGAATATG